GCCCCGTTAGCACGTTCGTTAGCAAGGAGTCGGTGCAGGCTGGTCGGGGCCTGCAGCTGAGCGCCGCGGGGGAGAGGACAGCGCACGGTAAAGGCGAAGGGTAGGGAGACACGAAGTCTGAAATGGGAGCAGCAAGATCTCATCCTAAAGGAAGCGTCCTGGGAGGCAGGAAACCGGGAACTGAGCGCCCAATCTCCAACAGGACATTGCCAGGAATTCTCATACGGCAGGCAAAGGTGCAGAATATATTTTCTTTTTCAATTGAATAGCAGTCTTTATTTAAAAGAAAGCAAACTCAGTCGTACAAATAAAACAGGCAAAACCCAAGTCTGAGCAGGACGGGATTTAGACGTCAACGAGCCAATCCACCGCTTTGCCCCCTAATGGTGAGGAAGGGACACTGCGCCAATGGGCTTATTTGCATACCCACAGTGCGCTGCGCACAGAACAGGTCCAAAACGGCGAATTAAAAATTTTTCCCGCATACATATTTTGTGAAAAGTCGACTCTTACTTACAAAAGAACCTGGAAATTTTTCCCTAGCTGCAGAATCTTCACGTTCACCGGCCACCATCAGTTTTAGGAGTTTATATACTCTGAGGAGCGAGTTATGGAGGCAAATGAGGCATATTCTGGTTTCTCTTCAGATCGCATAAATCTTTCGCCTTTTACTAAAGATTTCCGTGGAGAGGACCAACTCTGAGTCTGAAACCAATTTTTTGAGGCCTTGCTTCGGCGAGGCTACTTTACGATGTTTAAAGACAGACGCTGAATGGAGTTATTTAGCAAGAGAAGATGTAGATAGCTGGCAGGACGTTCTTTTCTTTGATAACGTTATAACTTTGTTATAGTTATTACAGAGTGACTATTTTTCATTCACGGTAACCTTTTCTATTTTGTTTAGATTATCTCCCAAAACTGGGGAGAAGTTGTTCGTTTCAGTACGTTTGATTGATGCAAAGTATTACTTCAGTATGTAACCAATATAAAAGATAATTAATTAAACGTTTCTTTATTTATTTACTTTTTACCGTAATAAATCTTTTAAGCCCGGTGTGTATGTCACACTTCGCGCACTGCAGTCAGGACTGGCCGCGTCTCAGGCGCTCAGTCAGCGCACGTGGCTAATGACTGAGTGCTGGACAGCGGCGCAGCCGTGTGTCACAGTTTATGGGCAGACCACAGTGTGTGGATCCATTCTCCCTTCATGGAGGTTTGGTTCCCCCCCAGATTTTGGCTGTCGGAACTCCTAGCGAACCTGTGCACGACTTTCTTTCCCTGAAGTGTGGAATGGACTCGCTGGGTCATGAGGCGGGTAGGTATAATAATTTTTCCCCAAAGTGTGCGTGTGCCCATTTACACTTCCATCAAGTGGCCTGTGCACATACCCATTTGCTTCTCATCCTTACTGGCCCTGAGTATGCTCAGAAGTCAGTTTTTATTCACCTGGTAGTTATGAAAGGGTCTCTTACAGTGGTTTTGTCCCGCCCTGTGTATTGGCTGGTGTCTCCTTTCTCCAGGGATCTGCGATGACAACTCTGACATGTCAGCTTTCCTTATATGCGTGCAAATGTTTCTGGGCTATCTGTTCTGTTCCATGGGTCTATTTATCTGTCCCTGAGCTAATAACACACATCTTAATTACTATGGATTTATAAGACTTGAAATCTGGTAGGCTTCATCCCTCTACGGTTTCCTTTTCAGGAGTAACTTGGCTATCCTTTGTTCTCCCAAAAATGCTATATTAGTCCGTTTGTGTTATTTATAACAAAATACACAGAACTGGGTATTTTATAAAGAAAAATGACATTTATTGCTTTCAGTTTCTGAGGCTGGAAAGTTCAAAGTCCTTCTGGTGGTGGCAGCAGTGATGGGGGGGGTCTCATGTAAGGTGGTGAAGCAGAGAGAGCAGAAGGAGAGAAAGACTCTTCTCTTCTTTTAAAGCCCTCAGAACCACGCCCTTGGCCACCATTTTCAATCCATTCAGTACTGCACAGTCCTAGAGTCCAATCACCTCTTTAAGGCTCCACCTTTCAATTACCATAATAGGATTTCCCACCCGCAACAGTAACAGTGGGAGTTAAACTTCTATATACTAACTTCAGGGGACACAATTCAATCAATCCACAGCATACATAAAAATAAGATTTGACAATAATGAGAAACAAGCATGGTACAATGGGGTATAAAAGTGGCTGGTTCTTTGAAAAGATTAATATAGTAGACAAGATTGATCAAGAAAAGGCAATATTAGTGTTAAAAGAGGGGACATAAGAACACAAGCAGGGTGGAAATGGAAAAATAATAAAGAATACCATAAAGAATTTTTGGCCAACATACTTTAAAATTTAGAGTAAATGTTTAGACTTTTAGAAAAATGTAATTTACTAACTTGGATCAAAAAGATCTAGAAAACATGAATAAATATACCTGTAGGGTAAATGCTGGACATAGACCTATTCCCCCTCCTCGTGCACATCAGAGTTCCTCCGCCCCCTGGGAAACTACCCCTGGCCAAGGTAGTTACCCAAGGAAAGGCACGTCTCCTTTAAGACAAACATCCCCTGTAAGACATGGAAGACTGGAGGAAGCAGGAATCCTAAGTAAATGAATTAGCATGCTGGTGTTAAAGTACTCTGGTGCTAGGAGGGTAGCAGGTAGGTTTGAGGCACTCGTACTTACCCGGCTATGTCCCAGCTGTGTCCTGCCCGGCTGTGGCCATCAGGCACTCATGTTTGCCCAGCTGTGCCCCTCTATGCTGTAACCAAGACCCTCAACTGGATGTCATACAGACCCAGCTGCAGCTGCACTCTTGCCTTGTTTCACACTGAGGTTCACACACACTGGTGTAAAAGAATTTTCCCTTCTGCTTCTGCCGTTGTCATTTTCTACCCTGAGACAGAGTTATAACTACATAAGATCATAAGATCACCCCTCTTGCCTTGTTACAAAAACCCAGAAATACTATAATTTAAAAATAACAGCCCCACCGCATTCAGGGTTCAGCCTTTGAGACTAGATTCTGCTGAGCCAATGCTGGCATATTAATAAACTCTGTTTCCTGTATTAAGCCTCAGTGTTTCCTGATCTCCCTGCAAGTTCACAGTAACACACTGCAGCAGGTTAACTTATCCACTCAGCCAGATCTCTTGTGCACTCTGAGTTATGTGAGCTGGGTGAGGGTCTACGTGTAAACATACAAATGATTTACACCTCTGCTCTGATCTGTTTGCTATATAACTGTTGTACGTACCCCATGGCGGGGCAGATTTCCAGCTGGTCAGCCACTGTCAGCACCTCCCATAGGTCTAGTAAACTGATTAGCCTGGTGAGTTCATAGGAACAGGCAAACACTACATGAATGCCCTTTTAGATTCGTACCCCATGGCGGGGCAGATTTCCAGCTGGTCAGCCACTGTCAGCACCTCCCATAGGTCTCGTAAACTGATTAGCCTGGTGAGTTCATAGGAACAGGCAAACACTACATGAATGCCCTTTTAGATGTGGGGCTCTCATAATACAACACCTATAACCACTTGTCTTAGTCCATTTGTGCTGCAGTAACAAAATACCACAGACTTGGCAATATATAAACAACAGAAATTTATTTCTCACAGTTCTGAAGGCTGGGAAGTCCAAGGTCAAGGTACCAGCAGGTTCAGTGTCTGGTGAGGGCCTTCTTGCTGCATGGTGGGAGGCAGAGGGCGAAAGGGGATGAATGTTGTGTCCTCACACGGCAGAAGAGCAGAAGAGAATGAAGGGCCCTAATCCCATCCGTGAGGGCTCTGTCCTCATGACTTAATCACCCCCTAAAGGCCCCACCTCTTAATACTGTCACATTGGTGATTGTTTCAACATATGAATTTTGAGGGACACATTCAGACCATAGCACCATTTAAGGAAACTATTTGTTAAAAATCTAGCCACTCACTCCCTCACACGCCCCAATACATACAGGATAAAGACAGGCTTCAGTGGTTTTACAGATTATTTCTACTAACCATTCAAGGAACAGATAACCCCCAAATTATATAATTGTTCTAGAGATTACAAAAAAGAGGGAACAAGCCCCAACTTATTTTCTACTTTAAAATCAAAGTATGGTATAGGTTTCAAAACTTTAAAATAACAGTGTGAGAAATAAAAATATAGGCCAGTATCACATATAAACATATAGGCAAAAAATCCTAAATTAAACATTAGCAAATTGGGACCAAGCTACAACCAAGCAGCTGCTGGAAGACCCCCCACCCCCAGCCCAGAGCCTCCGCCACATCCCCTCCCCCTCCCCTGCTCTGCAACATCTTAGAATGTAAAAAATATATAATAAATAAAAATTTTAAAAAATAATAAACATTATCAAATTGAACACAATCATGTTTTTTAAATACATTATTGCCCCACTTTTTAAGTGGGCCGTGCATACTGACTTCCTCCCAAAGAGTACAGTATGGAAGGGAGGGAAAGAAGAGTAACTTCACAGTGGGGAAAGGTGACAGACACTAACTGAGGCAGGTGATCGATGTCATCAACGATAGTGAAAGTCATGTTAGGTGTGCACCCTTTTTTTTTGGCGGCTGGCCTGCACAGGGATCCGAACCCTTGACCTTGGTGTTATCCGCACCATGCTCTAACCACTGTTTTAACCGGCCAGCCCCTTGATACAAGGTGATGAAAATGGCAATTTACCTCTATGGTCTTCCTCTCAAAGACATATCACCCCAGTCTAATCATGAGAAAAAAAAAATCAGACAAATTCCAAAGGAGAGACATTCTACAAAATATCTACCCATTGTTCTTCAAAACTATCAAGGTCATCAAAAGATGATAAGTCTGAGAAACTGTCATGGCCCAAAGAAACCTAAGGAGACATGACAAATATAATGTGACATCCTGGATGGGATCCTGGAATAAAAAAGGACATTAGATAAAAACTAAGGAAATCCTTGGCACTGCCTCGGAGCTTCAGCTGCCCAGGATAAGAATCCCTAGTAAATCAAATGGCATCCAGAGATTTCTGCTCACCTGGCGAAGGGATGGAAATACTTCAACATGCGTGCAGCAAGCAGCTTCCTCCTTGTAACCTGAGGGAAGAGGACCTGTTGCAGAGACTATACCTCAGCAAGCTGTTGCTGAGTCTCTCACAGCATGCAGATGGGAGTGGCTTAAGCCTCACCCTGGCAAAGGAGCAGGCTCAGGCATGGAAGGAAGTTCGACTGCATAAAACAACATGGTTGAGATCTGAGATTTTACAGAGAGTCATTCAAAAGCTGCTTGTGGACTACTATGTAAAGACGCAGAACACAAATTTAACTTCTGACAACAAAACGTTTCATGAGACCCTTGAACAGTGGTTACTTGTGACTGAACTGACATGGCTCGTAAGTCCTAGCCAGGAGAGGGAGATGCCTCCACTGCTAGGGTTGGAGAAAGTGGACCTTCTGGAGCTCATGCCACCCTCAGAGGATTGTGCGTGGATGAGAGCTTGGCTCAAGCTAGAAATGGAGGAGGAGCTCAAGAAGAAATGTTTCACTCTGCTCTGCTACCATGATCCCAATTCGGATGCTGACAGTGAAACACTGAAGGCAGCAAAGGTATGGAAACTGGCAGAGGTCCTGGTGGATGAGAAGCAGCAGGGCCAGGATGCCAAGAGCCAGCAGAAGGAGCAGATGGTGCTGCTGGAGAAGAAGAGTGCCACCTACTCCCAGGTGCTTCTCTGCTGCCTCGCCTTGTTGCAGAGGCTTCTTCAGGGACACCGGCTGAAGACTCAGTCTGAGCTAGACTGCATCGATGCTCAGTACTTGGAAATCAAGTGCAGTGCCATGATCCTTAAGCTGAGGATGGAGGAGATAAAGATTTTGTCTGACACTTATACTGCTGAGAAAGTGGAAGTTCATTGTCTCATTAGGGATCGTTTGGAGGGAGCAATTCGTCTACAAGAGCAGGACATGGAGAAGTCACGACAGGTCCTCAACACCTATGAGGTCCTCAGGGAGGAGTTGGACAGGCTGGTTAAAGAGCACACTCAACTCAAGCAGGTGACTGAGAACAAGTGCTGAGCCCTCCAAGAGTTCACCACGGCCTACCACTGAGCATTGGCAGGGCGAGGAAGCATGGCCTCTGCACAGCCACTGCCTCTTCCTCTTCCTGCTAAAAGGACCACCTCCACCTGGGGCTGCCTTCACTACAAGGGACTGTGGGGACACGTGCTTAAAACACTGCAGTCATTTAGGCACCCTACTGGTTTTTCTTCCTTGTTTACAATGACTGGGCATCTTCTGGAAAACATAGCAAACAGATTTATATAATTTTATACATAGCTGTTTGTTAGTGTCAACCCTGTATTGTATTTCATTATCTCCTGAATAAAGTAATGATATTATAAAAATAAATAAATAAATAAAATCCTTGAAACAATACTTTATTGCCAAATTGGGTGTAGGCTATGAATGTATGGATGATTTGTCATAGAAAATCTATTAATATAATTTTCCACAGTAATAGATCAAAAGAGAAATCATGATCATCTCAATATCTGCACACAGTGTAAGAAAAAAAATCACAGGAAACTAGGAATAGAATGGAACTAGCTTAATCAAAAGAATTCCTACCAGAAACCTTGCAAGGCCCAGTACAAAATGAAAATGCAGGGCCCTTGATCAAAATTATTAAGAATTTTAAGGGCCGGCCTGTGGCTCACTCAGGAGAGTGTGGTGCTGATAATACCAAGACCACGGGTTTGGATCCTATATAGGGATGGCCGGTTGGCTCACTTGGGTGAGCGTGGTGCTGACAACACCAAGTCAAGGGTTAAGATCCCCTTACTGGTCATCTTTAAAAAAAAAAGTTATTAAGAATTTTATTAAGGTAACAACAGAGCTGGGACCTTCTAAGAATAAAGACCTATGTGACTGCACGAACAGCTTGCTGCTGAATCCTAGCTGGTCTGCAACAAACTTTACCCTTAATGCTGATCTAGTAAAAGCTATGTTTGAAACAAGAAAAAGATGCCCACTGTCATCATTCAGTTCAATGTCTCTAACAGCATTCCCAGCCAATTCAGCAAAACAAAAATAAAATGTAAAGGATAAGAACTGGAAAGGAAAAAAAAAGTTGTCACTCTTAGGGCCGGCAGGTTAGCTCAGTCGGGTAGAGTATGGTGTTGATAATGCTAAGGTCAAGGGTTCGGATCCTCATACCAGACAGCCATCCAAAACACAAAACAAAAGTTGTCACTCTCAGATGATAGGCTTCTCCACATAGAACATCCAGAAGAATCTATAGGTGATCTATTAAGTTTGCTGAATATAGGTTGGCAGATTAGCTCAGTTGGTTAGAGCACCTGCTCAGAACACCAAGGTCTCAGGTTCAGATTAGTCACCCGCCCAGAAAAAACTTGCTTGAATTCAAGAGTGATACAGAAAACTCAACTGCATTACTATATGCCAGCAATTATAAATTATGATTTTTAAAAATCTGTACTAGCCACAAAAACTACAATATATTAGGAGTAAATATGATAACAAAAATCTTTATGATAAAAGTTTAAAACTATATTGAAAGTCATAAAAGTAGACCTCAATAAAGGGGAGCATGTTCATAAACATGTGATTTAAATATTTTTAAAAATTGAATCAAATCCCGCAAAGGTTTTCTTATTGAGGTTAAGTATGTTTTTCATTAAATATCATTAGTAACTCCAGCTGTATGGAAACGGAAGTGTGCCCACACACTGGAGGGACCACACTTTGGATCCTCAAGTCTTTGAGGTTCCATGACTCTCTGGAGTCTAGAATAGCTGAAACTCCAACGCTAAACCCTTGACCTTGGTGTTCATAACACCGCACCGCACGCACTCTAAGGAATGGACCAGCCCTAACTTTCCGTTTTCTTCCTCTCATTCCCTCCGTAGTGACCTCTCCCCAGGTGAAGCAGAGCAAAGACCAGAAGGTGGATTTCCACTAAAACCCAGGAGCAGAGAAACATTCTCCAAAGACCCAAACTTAGCAAAAGGTGAGAGGGTGCAGGGGTGTTCAGAGAACCGCCCATCCCCTTATTTTTATAGTAGAGGCTTCTCATTCCACCAGTCTTTTAAAAAATATCTTTGAAATTTTAAATTTAAGGCCGGCCCGTGGCTCACTTGGTAGAGTGTGGTGCTGATAACACCAAGGCCCCGGGTTCGGATCCTATATAGGGATGGCTGGTTTGCTCACTGGCTGAGCGTGGTGCTGACAACACCAAGCCAAGGGTTGAGATCCCCTTACCGGTCATCTTTTAAAAAAAAAAAAAATTTTTTTTAAATTTAAGTATATCTCACAGACACCATATATCCTATATGCATAGTTCAAAGAAAAGTAGTAAAATAAAACCGTGATGCCTCTCTCTCATTTAAGGAAAAGGATATTGCCAACACCTTTGAAAGCCCCTGTGAGCTCTTCCCACATCACCCCCCTCCCCCACCATGGGGTAGCCACTATCTGGAAATTTGTATTAATCATTTCTCTGCTCTTTACCAATCCTCGTGGCTCCAACTATTAGAAAATTCCTTTATTTAAAAGAAATCATACTCAAAGTCTCAATGTACTAATGGATAAAATCTGCACCACACTCTAACCAACTGAGCTAACCTGCTAGCCCTGAATAAGCTCAGAATCTCTGGGTGACCAGAACGGAGTTTAAATCCAAGGCAGCAAAGCCTGCGCTTTGCCCCACTAAAGGTGGCCCCGAGCACTAAGCTATTTCCGGATTCTGAAAGGCAATTATTCAAGTATATTTGCATATCCATGATACACTGCAAATAGTACAATGGTTTTCACATAAAAACAACTTTATTTCTTACTCGATTTTCCTAAATATGAGACTATTATTTCCAAAATTCCCCGGAGAAATTTCTACAGGCAGTAACTCTTAAGATAAATAATTACCATCAATGTACTAGAGTTACAGATATGTGACAAATGAGTTACAGGTCCATAAGCTCATGCTCTTGTTTCTCTTCAGATCGTATAAATCTTTCGCCTTTTACTAAAGATTTCCGTGGAGAGGAACAATTCTGAGTCTTAACCTAATTTTTTGAGGCCTTGATTCAACAAGGCTACCTGTGTTGTTTGAACAGGAGAGTTATTGCAAAGTGTTGCATGGTTGTCTATTATGACTTAACCTATCAATTATAGTCTCTGTGGGTTGTCACACTACTCACTGATGATGTCTCCTGAGATACTCTGCCAAGATTGTACAGCTGGTTATCACAACTTTGCCACCTTCCGACTTGCTAACCTATTTTTACTTGCCTTTTGGGCGGTAGTTGGTATTTGTCTTTTATGGTGATGGTTTCCGTCTGTTTTCATTCACCTCTAAAAACGGTGCAGTTTGCTTTTTCCTGCTTTTGGCTTTATGTAAATACAGTAGGCATTCCTTTTGGGTCTTTGGCTGTTGAAGATTCACATTTTACTGCCTGTGGTTATATTTGGTTCGTTTTCATTGCAGCACTGTCGAGTAGAAATATAATGCAAGGCACAGGTGGAATTTAACTTTTCAGAAACCACATTAAACAAAGAGAAACAAGTGAAGTTGATTTCAATAATGTATTTTATTTAATGCAATGATTCAAAATGTTATGTGTGTAGGTAATAAATATAATTATTGAGATGTTTTACATTATTTACCCTCATACTTTAGTCCTTGCTTTTGATAGTGCTAATATTATTTAAACAAGAGACTCAATGCCCTTTCTTATCAGCTCTTTCCTTTCTAGGAGCCATTATTTGTTGGAGTCACTGCTGTGTTCTAGTTTCCTTGCTTAGCATAAAGCTTTAGCTTTTTATGCTACTTATTTTGGGGAAAATTTTTAACTTTTCTGCACCTAAAATGTTCTGTGTAGTGTATTTACCAAACGCCTTGTGAGTAATCGGACTCCAGGACATTGTCAACACACTCACCCCTGCCCCTTCCTCGCTGTAATCCTTTCTCTATCACTTAGAGCAAAACAATGACCTGACTTTTTTTTTTTTCCCTTTTTGTCTTTTTTACTGACCGGTAATGGGATCGCAACCCTCAGTGTCACGCCCGCACCGGGGACC